CTGGAGCTGCCGCAGGATCTACAGTTTAGGAAAACTGCTTTGAAAATCAGTGTAACTGCTTAAATTTCCCCTCACTGCATGGCTTAATTCCCTTTGGAGCCCATCTCTGGAAGGACGCTTTACATACTGCTTATCTAAGTTGGCAGTGATCAGCCTATGCATCACTATAGGAGCATATATAGGCAGAAGATAGCTTTAGAGAAAAGAAGCTGTTCCTGTGCAGTTTATATTCAATTTAGCGACTTGAATTTCTCATTTCTCTCCTTGGATCTCACCATTTCTTCTGACTCTGAACTTCATCTTTTTCTTCACAGGTACAAGACAGGCATTGGCCGCCTTGGCTTACATGAATGCAATGTCTAGGAAAGAAATCTCTACTATAACAACCTCCATGACAAAACGAGGAACTTCAGATAAACCAAGGAGATGTAATGTATCTCAGTGCAAAGACGTCACCTACTCCTCTCTCTCAGAGTACAACAGAAGAAGAAACTGAGACGGGGGCTGTGATCTCACCTTCCCCCGAGGTGTGGACATGCCAGGCAGGGACTCCTGAATTGTGAGAAAATCTCAGCCTGGCCTGGAGCCATCACAGGCACTGAAACCACCGGGCGCAAGCTCCTGCACGGGATATCTGCTGCACCCGGCCTGGGGGAAGGGTTCGAGGACACTATAGGTGCCCAGCAGCAGCAGGGATGCAGAAACAGGGAGGTGAGGTGGCCCCCTCCTTGCCCCTGGCCAGAGGGCAACCCCAGCCTGCTCCCACCTCACGCCCCATGGGCATCACAAGGCTTCTCCTGGCGCCAAAGACCTTCCACCAGGTCAGAGCTGTTTTCCAGGAATACAGTTTTTCATGTGGAAGTTGGTTCCTGTTTGGGCGTTTTTTGGGTTTTTTTGTTTAACTGGGCAAATAAGCTGCTGTTACCTTTTTTTATCTTCCATAGCACTACATAGTGTATAAACAGCTACACAGCCAGCCTCTCATTAAGTAATATGAGGTGTTGTAAGAGCTGGAACACCACCAGCGACATGAAAGTCGGGCAATTATAGACTCATTTAAGGCACGACAGGTCTGAGTATGCTTTCATATCCCAGGCAAGGAAAGTGTAGAAGTGGGTATCCCCGGTTCTTTTGGTCTCCATTCCCGTTGTTTACCAATTTCAGGATTTTCTGCATTTATATTAGAATGGAGCTCTGTGAGCATCTGGGAACAAGCTATCAAGCCTTCGCCCGCTCCAGTGTGTGTGGTGCTGGGCAATGTGGCACGCATGGCAAGTCACTACGGCCACAGCACTGACAGGGGAGCAGGTCCGTATCCTGAATTCCACTGACATGGGGGATTTTTCTTTTGCGCAGTTCAGGGACAAACCCACCAACAAACGCAACTGGTGCCGCATACAAGGGATTCGAGTCAGCTGTACGTATGCCTTGCCTGCCAGGCAAGGCACTGTTTTAAGCTGCCATCAGCAGGTCCACAAAGAGGATTCCTTAGAGCTCCTAATTTCTATCAATGGGCAATGATATTATCTCTAAGATTAATGCATTTGATGTATCAGAAAGAAAAACATTCACAAGACACAGACTGCGTCTGCGTCCCACCACTGGACCTCTTCCCTCAGTCACACTGCCAGGCACTCACTGTTTCAAAAGCAAGACTGAGTTATTTGTTGGGCTCGGTGTGCAGGAATCCGCGGCAGCGGTCCGTCGCAGCGATGGGTACAACCATGCCATGAGGTGGTGTACCTCAAACGCTGCTTGTCCCGACCCTGCTGCGCCTCAGCCAGCATCAGCCCAACTCCTGCGTGGTGGCCAGGGCTGCTGTCTCCTTCGAGACCCTCGTGCTCCAGCCCAGTGTTGCTTTGCCCCACTCGTGGTTTTTCACGCGGCGATACACTCATTAACCACCGCAGCCAGGGCTTGCCTGCCACGCTGCCGGGCTAGGGCAGCCTTTGGCAGGGGACGGGCACCCCCAAATTACCTGCCCGCTGCGCAGCGTGGGGCTGCCTGTTGGGAAGGGAGCCTGTGCTGGCCTGGCAGCAAACCTGGACTCGGGGTTGAATGAAGCAAGGCGGAAAGAGATCGCCTGGCAGCTCAGAAGCGGTGCAGCGAGCGGCACACAGCAGTGCCCTGCCACGGACGAGGATGCCATCATGTGGCCAAAGCCTTTTATTCACTTCCCTCTTGCTTTGCATATTTTTATATTAAAAGCTTTCTGCCCTCTGCTTCCTTTCGACACCAGATAGTCCACAGCTCTCCCTGACAGCTCCTTCTGGGAGGTGTGTGTTACACGAGAGTTTTGTCCGAGTAAATCCCAGGCATCTGTCTCAAAATTGGTTTAATTGGGTGAAGAATATCAGGAAAAATCACCATTTGACTCCAACAAGGGTCTGAGGGCTTTGCGCCCGCAGAGAGACTGAACACACCAAACCTGGGCACCAGGAGGGCAGGATCATTCAGATACACAGCTTTTTGCAAACCTCATCAGTTTAATTAATTCATGGTCCATTTTACATAATGCAGGCAGATAAGCAACACCGTTTATTTGCACTGAAAACCCAGTCTCCCCAAGTATTACCCCTGGAGACATATGATATTACACATCTAGAGAACATGTTTCACGTATATGCATTAAAATAGGTAACATGGAAAGGATGAATCCTTAAATGCAGCCAGCAACAATACCTGTGTGAAGGGTCATCGATTTGTATCCATATTGTTTATCAAAAACAGCTCCCTGTGTTCTTGCCAAGCTCAAAGGCACTATGAGCGTCCTTGCCTGCAAGTCCTGAGATGATGCAACACCAACTGTGTCTCCCACTCTTTAAGGCTGGTTTTGCGGGAAGCCACACTGTTGTGTTTAATTCGGGCCCCAGTGAAGAGGAGTCCAAGGTTGGGGACCCCATTTCTGAGTACTACTCCAGACCCAAGTTTTTAGGCACTTTCTGCTGAGGTCTTCAAGTCTTGTCACCAATTCCTCCATTCATCCAGGGAAGAGGACGTAGGAGTTTCTCCTTCCTTCTCTTTTTTTGGAGGAAAGTGGGATGGCCACTCCAGGTTGCCTTCAGAAACCTTTATTGAGGGCATCTGCTAAAACTGTCATTGCTGGGCTTTTTCCCCAGAGCTCTTCATCTCCAGAGAAAGATGGGGAAACCATACATTTCCCAGACGACAGCATCATCCCAGACTATTTCCCCATGCCGCATGTCCCTCTGCATGTGAGGCTGTTACCCCTCAGCCTCTCCTGGCAGTGCCATCAGAGTCCTCTTGTCCCAGCAGAGCTGGTCCTTCTTCATTTTTGGTATCAGAAGCTCCATGCTTAGAAAATAGAGCATGGAGATATTTAACAGCAATAATCATAACGTAAAAGATCTTGGAATAATTGAAAGGCTGAGGTAGACCAAAGAGAGACCTGGGTCTCTCAGTGGGATTGCAGCAAAGAGCTGAAGGCTCATGTATTTTAGAGAATAGTTTGGGATAAACTCTGCATCCTTTAAAGAGACTTCCTTTGCTGATGGTCTCTCAAGGCTGCAAAGTGATGTCTGCAGGATTTGGCCGTTGGAAGCTGGACTGTCACGTCAGTCTGGCTGATACGCTAACGAGATACGTCCAGCAGGTCCCTGGATGGCTACACAAGGCGAGTCAGGTAAATTAACAGGCAACCATCTATATGAAACGCAGACTTTTTCTGTTGTTTTCTGAAGAAAAAGAGCAGCTTCATCTCTGAATTTAACATCCTCCCGTTTCCCAGTTTAATGTATACCTTGGATAACGAACTGAAGTTGTTGAAGCCCTTCACATCTTTTCATTATAATCTTGCCGAAATGCTGGCAAACTGGAGAGTTCTGTGCTGTAAAACATGAGTATCCATTTGTACGGGTGGAGTCATCCATTTCTTTGATCCTGAAAGCAGGCTAGGATTTGGTGTCAGTCCAGACTTCCTGCATGAAAAGCACCTGTGCACCCATCACACCTCCTCCTTTCCTTGTTCACAAAAAAGAGGAACTCATACACAGTGTTGTACAAAAGACGCTCCCTCGGCTGATGTCGGCTGGGCTGGGTTTGAGTATATCCATCTCACTCGGGTGGGTAAGAGGAGTAAGTTTTTCTCTCAGTGGGAAAAACGCCATCAGTGAAAAAGCCCAACACCAACATGGGAATAATTAAGGTGCTCTTAGACAACAGAGTGAAAGATTTGGTAAGAAAAAGATCTTGGATTTGATTGAGCTGGTGCAGTTTTTGGAGTCCTGCAGGGACTAAGGCCATGGCAGAAGAGAAAGCCGATGCCATAGGTGCAAGGACAGGAGTCTTCGATCAGAGCGGCTGAGCACTCACCAACACCACACTACTGATTTGGCTCAGGAAAGTAGGAGACTTTCAGGTCTTCTTGGGAACACTTTTGAAATAAGAAAGAAGGAGGTTTATAAAGTACTGCAGAAAACAGCAATGACTTCCATGAATAATCTTGAGTATTTAACTGCTAAAAAAGTTTCTGTAATCAGGTATTTTTAATGCTGCTCCTTTATGCAACC